AAGATCTCGTTAGAACTACATCGGGCAAGATGCGATCAAATCAGAACTTGCAAGAAAAAAGGCCGAACAATGAAAACAAAACAACAACCGGACTGGCGGAATCTCATATCCAGATGACTAAATCGATCGCCCTGAAGAACGCAGCTGTAGCGGAGAAGGAAGGTCTAGACATCTCCATGGAAACGCTGGTGTACAAAGCAACGATGGCACATAACCTCCTCCTCAATTTCGGGGGCAGCACACCGGCTAAAGCTTTTCTTGGCTAGGGCCCCCGAAATTACAATGATGTGGATTCAGCGACGATCATGGTACATGAAGGAACGCTAGAGTTTTCCCCAGATACGTTTGACTCGCACGTCTGGATGAGACTGCTGTCGAGGCAGAGTGTATTGAGGACGATCGTGGAATGGCGACTTGCTATCGCCAACAAATCAAAACCGCAGAAGCTCGTCACGGAGAAGAGCAAGGTCGGCGACCAGGTGGACTTGCATCGGACCCCGAGCAAGAAGGATCCGGAAGGCTGGAGCGGATCTTGTGAGTTGTTGCATCTCAAGAGAACTGGAGATACTGTCGTATGCAACTGTTATCCCCGCGCTGCTCCTCTTCGGCACATCAGGAGGCTTCGTAAACGTTTCTCGGCGTGGGCCTCCAGCCATCGACGCCAACGCGCGGTCGCGGCATTCTCGTCATCGGCGCGCCTGGTAACGGACTATACGATGTGCTGGCTATTGTGGCAGGCGCGGCACCGTTCAAGCCACATGTGATCGGGATGCTGGTTCGCGCCGAAAGAGAAGAGCGACCATCGCCGAGCATGGGCGACGCTCCGCCGAAGATCTGGAACCCGGCTGTCAAGTGCGCCGAGGGCGAGTGGAGCATCAACACCCACGGCGTAGTATTCGGCAGATGCGTCCGCTGGCGATTCACAGCGACGCGGGCAACGTTCGGTCGACAGGTCGCGCGGGGCTGCGCGCAGCGAGATAAGTACGTCGCGACAGGCGTGGGCCCTAGAAGGCAAATGTTGCACGTGCTGAGCATCACCAAAGACATGAAGGACTCGAACGCCCGCCGCATCCCGGTCTACTCGGTCGCGTCGATCACCGAGGGCGAGGAGACCAAGCGGCGCAACGTCCCAAATTTTCGGACATATTATCGATGCGGCCTGACGACGATGACGACATGGATTTGCAACTTCAATGGCCACTGTCACCTGAACGAGGGCCGGCCCCGGCATCAGCGCAAGGTGGACAACCGCCGCCGCCAGCGCCGCCGCAAGACCCAGCAGTGGTGGCTCGAGGTCTTCGCAGTGATGGCGACCATTAAGTATCAGCGGGGCTTATAGGACCAGGGCCGCCAGCGCCGCCAGCACCACCTGCAGCAGCGCTACATCGACGGCCCGAACACGAACAACAACCATTACCTGCAGCACGCGGAGGGCCCCAGGGACCTCCGCCCGCTCCAGGACAAGCGATTGCCGAGGCGCCGAGTCCGATGACGTTCGGCATCAGTGATTCACCATGGCCGGATGGAGACGCGGGCATCATAGGCGCGAGCAATATTCCGCCGGGGCCACCACTTTATCCACCGGCACCTCAACGAGCACGAATCAGAGATGACGAGAGCTGGCAAAGGAACCAGCGAGCCGAGGATGGATCACATCAAGGCATCGAAAATCGAGAACAGCGGAAGGTTCATCTTCAACTGCCAGCCAACGTTAGGAGGCATGCTCGAGAGTATGAGAACACTAATGTCAGAATCCCCGACGTGGAGACAATGTCTTTCGCCTCGCAGTTCCTCGAACCGATTGAATACACCGTGGGCGCGCCATCGCTATGGCAGTTGGCCCTACCATTACACGGACTAGACGACCTTAAAGGAATTCAGATTTTCGACGACAATTTCTTCATGTGGATGAGGAGCGGTGAAATAATGATGGCATGGGCAGTTCACGTGGGCGATATTATCGCGTTGGCAAAATCAGACTGGCTTGCTTGGGGTCTCAGCTCAATAGAGAAAAGTTTTGGACAAATCAAAAGACATCAGCTACCCTTCGCTCATATGGAAATGAGCTATGAAGTACTTGGATATCGACACCTATTCATTCATCAACACGTGTTCACGGAAGGCTGGAAGAAAACCGTGGTCCCGTTCAAGCTGAAGGATAAGACTGACAACAAGTGCGACGCGAAGTTGACTCATGACCTACGGCCCGTACTATGTTCACTACTGAGGCTATGTCAGACGCGTGACGATATGTCTTGTGATGCCGTGCAGCTACAGCAGATTGATCGAAAGAGTAAGGTTGGTCACGAGAAGCAAGCGAACCTCATCGTGCATAGAGCGAGACGCAACATGAAGATGGCAGGACTTCGCTTCGGTCCGATATCCTATCCAGCTCGCTCAGTATCACTTGGGGACGCTGGACATGGCAATCGTAAGACATCATATCCTCAGGGAGGCGCAGCGGTACCTTTCATGGATGTCCACATGGATCAAGTGCACGTCGATAAGAAGAAGGACCTCGTTAATCCTGACGACCCACTCATTAGCGCTATCCTCAAGAAAGTCGAAGCGCATATCCCACTCCACGTGCAACGCCGAAGCCAATGCGGGCTACAAGGTCAGGCGGACGGCACAATTCATTGCACTGAGGCTGAACGAGATTATCACGTGTACGGAAATTCAACATAAGGCTCGAGACATGGTGGATGTTGTTGACCGGTCGTTGTATCAAGTACGTATTGGCCACTGTACGATTTGTATGGATTTCTGACAGCCATGTTGTGGAGTGAAAGGAGCACCCTCGGATAAGCCGAATAGAGTGGCAGTCCTTTGTATGGGAAGAACGCCTCAGCGGGAGAATCTGTAACTTCATCCATCTACCGGCAGAAGTTGTGATCGTGGGCGGCTTCACCAAGACGGGTACCTTCAAACTTTTGATGGAACATTTGGCGACGGGTGTTTGGCATGTTTCCCCACCGAAAGGCAAATATACCACATTGAGGAGAAACGCGCAAACGCAGGAACGCTACTCAGAGCAGGACCTGTTGGACCTCAAGAGATAACTTATGGACGAAAGTGATCACGGGCCCTTGCTGAACTATTCAGATGCGGGTATGGAATTCCCTGTTTGTTTGTTGCACCTTGGGTTGTGACACGGTTCGAGGGACAGCAGTCAACTGGCATGAGGTACATTACGGCGGCGAGGATTCCAAGTTTAGGCCAAGTCCTGATACGATGTGTCTTACTGCAGGGTGGTGTGTTCTTGATATTGATACCTATCCGAGGTGGAGATCATTAACACCCTGCGCATGATGTGCGAGGCTTAAGTGCCTGCTGCTGTGGTGCCGCCGGCTCGTCTCTTGGATTTATGTTTGAGAGAATAAAACGTTGGTGAGCACCCAGCGAATACAATACTGAGATAATCTTGTATCCGGGACACTAGAATCGGAAGGAATATTTAGGTCTGAGTTAGGACAGGTATAGTATCTGTTCTTATCAGTGTATCGTGTGCTGGTTTAGTTTTGTGAAGAAGCATGCAGAGAGAGGCTGGACGGTAATAACAATCGGGTTCAAGCTCTCGACAACAAAGCGATCTCCGCTGGATGGGTGGCGCAGGAGGGAGGTGGGAGAGAGGAGGAAGGCAAGCTAGGTGCGCTCGCGTCTCACCTGACATTCCATCCCTCCCTCCCATCCTTTCCCATGGCGCTGATGTTTCTATCCGCGGACGCGTGTCATTGCCGATCTGCGACTCCCACAGAGAAAGACCACTTCGTGGTATGCGAAATCGGGAAGCTGGGAGGTGCGTGCACAAGAGTAGGTGGCGGGTCATCCGGATGATGAGCGGAAGGAAGACATGATAACGAATAGCAGCGGCAGGAATTAAAGCGAAAGGGTCGGGAGGGAAACGAAGACCAGGCGACGAAGGTGGAGGAGGGGAAATGAGCGGGGCGACAACACGGAATCAAGACTCGGATTCAGAGAAGTGGCCTGCGCTTGGGCGAGACGAAAAGCAGCAGCAAGAACTGGAGTGGACGGAGCGGGAGGAACAGGAGGACCAGTGGAATGTAGAGAAAGGGAAATGATGGGGGGGGCCACAATGAAGCCATACTCGGATCCAGACAAGTGCCCCGCGCTGGGGCGAGAGCGCCATCCTGAACGACGAGAGCAACGCGCCGATCCGAACATGAGGCCCACGCTGCAGCGGGAACACCATTTTGAAGCACCAGAAACATGCGAATTGAAAAAACAAGACGGCAAACTTATGCTCGAAATCAAATGCACACACACACACAAAAAAACACGCGGAGAGGGCGGGGGGGGATTTTCCAGACAACTTCAGGGGAGGAGGGAGAGTAGTATTCACATTGTCCAATTGTGGTGGGAGGAGGTTTCTTAGAAGGAGGCTACTTCTCAGAAGGCGCCAGCCCTGTATATGTAGATGATCCCCGCGCCTTCTAAGAAGCAGGGGTGCTTGTAAGAAGCGTTCTCCCCTTCTCCTACACCCCCATATGCGGGTGGCTGATGTGAGGGGCATCATTAAAGACTTTCTGGAAACCAGCGGAAACGTCCGAAGACCCAAGCCTCGATGCTTTTGTGAGGGGGGGGGAGGGGGACGGAGAGCTTTGGGAGATGGGGGCGGGGTCAGGAACCCCTACAGGAACGCCTGCAGGAAACCTCGATGCATCGCCCCCTGAGCCTATATCCCCCTATCGGGAGACGTAAGACTCGGGTTCGGCGGACTCGGGCTGGCCTGGCAGGGCTGTACGGGAAATGACGAGGCCCAATCTGGAACTCGACGCGAGCTCCCGCTGCAGGCATCACACGAACACTGGACCGTCAAAATGTCGGGCCGCGCCCGTCAAACAGAACGTCGGCGAACCCGATGTCTGGCGAACCCGAGCCCGGCGCTTCCCTGGCGAACTGCGGCGCCTCGGGCGGAGCTCGGCTGCTCGAGCGAGCCTGGCTGCCGGGGCCCGACCCGCGCGGCGGGCCTCCAGGGCATGGCGGCGGGGCCTCCTCCAGCCGGACGCGCCGATCGCCAGGGCAGCCACAAAAAGCACCAGCAGAGCATCGAGATGACTACTCGACGCGGAAGTCCCCAGATGTGCATCTCATACTCCTGGCACGCCTCGCGGCGGAACTCCGTCTGCGATCATCGGGGTGAGAGCGAGTCCCCGCAGACGACGGGTGCGACAACGACGACGACGACGACGACGATGACGACGACGACGACTTCAGTGACGTCTGGGGGCGCCTCAATAATGACAAGAGTTCCGTCTCAGGATATGGGGGAAACAAGGCCTTGCGCGAAAGGGCACAGCGAGCCTGCGCCCCAAAAATGGCTCCAAGCAGGAACTCCCAGAGGTAACCCGAGGCGCCCCCGGAAAGGCCCCAAGAGGCCTCCACAACGATCAGGAAGCCATATGCTCCCAAGAGCCCTCCAAGATGCCCAACCTGGGGGGTCGGCGGAATGGCGTAAGGCACTCGAACAAAAGACGGGGCCTTGCGCATGAGGGCACGGCGAGCTTGCGCGGTGGCGTACCGCACGCGGGCCGCCAGCGCGACATGGCCTTGGACGCCCGAAATGAATACAGAAACAAATGGTACAGTGCCCAACAGCACATGTTGTCCAAAACCGACAGCGGCCGCTGTTGGGGAGGCCAGCTTATGTCTCAGATGGACAACGATCGCGGTGACGCCGACAGCGGTCCCTTTTCAGACTGATTAAGAACTGCTGCTGGACGTTGTGCCTATTCTTTCCGTACCCCCTTCGATCCTCCAATGTGGCGGCCTCACGCGGCGGTTTCAATACGCGGGCCAGCAGCGCGGCACAGCGCGTAGAGAAGACTGCACTTACGCGCGACCGAACTCACGCGACAGGACACGACGGCCTTACGTGGCGGCTCACGCACGCCGGCTGCCAGCGCGGTCTCCAGCGGGCAGCCTGTTGGCGCAGTCGGCCCCCTGTTTTGTTGCGTCTCCCAGGTGCTGCTGGTAAGTCTCGGCCTGGCTTCCGAGGAGTATAGTCAGCAACAGAAGCATAAGTAGCTGTGGAAGGTCTGCGCGGACTGTTCGGGTCAGCGCTGGGAGCGCACAAAGGGCGGTGCCGGAAGCGCCGACGAGGGTCCTAGCGCGGATCCAAGAAATCCGCTGAGAGCTCCGAGAGTTTACGTTTATGTCTTCTGTTCCTCTTCGAACTCCGTCGCCTTCCGCCTCCCTCCCACCCACCTCCCTAATTGGGGCGGGGTGGGGCGAGGCGAAACTCACGGCGTATCCTGGCGTTTTTGGCTGCCGTGCCATCACCAGCCGTCATACCCAAGGCTGCCGTCCCTGTGGTGTTTGGCCACCCCGAGCTCTGCACAGGACCGACTTGTTCGACTGGGCGCAGCGCAACGCCATCATCGGAGGAGAGTGAATTGCGACGAAGGCAGCTCAAAATCGGTGCCTGGAGCCCTCCTGGGGTCCAAACACATCAATTCTCCGAGATGCGTCCAGCCGTGGCGACGAGGGCGCCCCCCGAAGGCCAGCCAAATACGGTTGTCTCAACTGGCCCTCCTCTGACATAGCACCGCCGAGGAGGAACGGGAACCCCGCGCCATCACCAGACGTTGAAGGCCGCCACCAGTCGTCATCACCAGTCGTCATCCCGAAGGCCATCACCAAGGCTGCTGCGCCATCACCAATCGTCATCCCCAAGGCCATCACCACCCAGGAGGAACGGGAAGCCCGCGGCGTCACCGCGGAGCTCGTTGCGCCGGCAGACCTCCTCCACCTCCGGGCCGGAGAGGCGCCGAGGCTCCGCCGACGTCGGCGCCCACACCTTCCGATAGTCCTCAAAACGCGCGTTAGCGCCAACGTGTGCTTGTCCACCGAGGCCTTTCAATTCGACGCAGGCAAAGCAACGAGGGCCAACGTAGACCGCGTGCTAGGCTGATCGGGGCAAGCACACATTGGGCCAACACGCGTCCTGAAGATCATCGAACCTTCACGCAGCTGTCGATGCCGCCAGTGGCGAGGCACAGGTCGCGGGGGTGGGGCGCCACCGAATTCACCACGAAACTGTCGCCCCCCTCGCCGAGGCCCGCGAGCGCGCCGGAGCTGGCGTGCCACAAGAAGAGGCGCCCGTCGTCGGAGCCGCTGGCGACCAGCTCGGCACGGCCTCCGACGTACCTTGAGATCCGACGTTGCGAAACAATGGCACCATCGCGAAGAATGGACGAACGAACCACCTCAGTGGACAGATGCTTGGGCCTAGCTCAGACCAGACGGGGGGACGACCTGGTGCGTATGAGAAATGCAAACATGCATTGGAACAGTGAGACGCATAAAAAATGACGACAGAGGTGGGCAAGAGCCCTATAGGCACCACCGTGAGGAATCACAGCCAGAGTCCTACGAGCCCCATCTTTCGGCTGCACATTTCGAGCCGGGCCGATCTGTGTTGGTCCCCGCGCTGGAAGCCGGGCGACAATGCCCCGTGTGAAACGATTGCAACGCCCCGATCTGAGGGCACGCGCACTCCTTGATGGTGCGCCGGTTGCAATGCCCGCCAAACTCCGTCGAGCCCGAGCAGAAGCTCAAGCTGATCCTTCTGCGGCAACTCCTGGGAGCCTCCATACCATATCGCTGGCTCCTTCCAGTCGGCGCTGCTCGACGCGTATCGATGCTGACCGATGCTAAATCGACGCGCAATCGGCGATAATCAACGCTGATCGACGCTAAGTTGGCGCCCTCTCGTGGATTACCAAAAACTGATCGTCGCCAATGCACTCTAAAAGCGGAGTTTCGAGGGTACACGATGCTCCCATGATTTGCTACCGAATGAGCCCGTCGTCGGCGTCTGGCCAGGAGAGCCCACACTCCGTGCCGAACTGGAAGACATGGTGGCCCGACCACGACGCCAGCAGACGGGCGCCGTCGGGGGACAGCGCCACGCTGGTTATCATGCTGGCGCCCCACGGCGTGTCTGGCGCCCTGAACACGGACACCGGTTGGGCCGAGGCAGCTTCGCCAGCGGCCGTGAGGTGACGCTCCTGGGGGATACTTACGTTTTCGGCGATGGACAATTGTTACCAATCGCTCCTGGGCCGTCTTCGGCAACCATCGCATGGTAGTCGGCGGTCTTCGGCGATTTTCTGACAGCATTCGGCGGTCTTCAGCAAATTCCAGTGGTCTTCGGCGTGAAAACTGGACGGTTGCGTTCAACAAGAGGTCCATGATCGAACCCCGAAAGATACGGATACCGCTAATGCCCGGACCTCTCCCGCAGCGCGCTCTGGCCAGCAAGCATCCCGAAGCGAATTCAGCCTTGCCGAGAAGGGAATGGTAACGATATCTCCCAGACACCCGCCGTCATGAGCTGTTTTAATGACGTGGATCCCCGGGGGCCTGGACCCCTTCCACAGGGCATATGTTTCATCCTGAGTCCTTTTGTGACGGTCTCGTGGCCTGGCGAGGGCCCCTGGAGGCAGAAATATGCACCTAATCGGCCGTCGTGACTTTTTGTCACGACTCAAGAGGGTCTGGGCCGGGGTATCTTTCCTCCGCTGAGCTCCCCCAGCTGCCTGCGGTCGTAGAGCCAGGCGAACGGATCCTCCCCGCCCACGCCCAGCAGGTGCGGCCTGCCTTCGCAGGAGCAGATGGAGTTGATGCCCACGCCACCGAGCGACGCGCCGACGATGGAAGTAGAAAAAACAGCATAAGTAGTTGTTTTTAACTGTCAGTCCGCGCGGATTTGTTTCATCGGCACTGGGCCCCCTCATTGGCGCGCGGGGCGCGACAAGGGCGGCGCTGGAGGCTCTGCCAAGGAGGCCCAGCGCCGAGCCAAGAAACTCGCAAGGACCTCCGAACGTTGATTCTGAAAAACGTAAGGCTCGAGTTCGGGGACCCGGGCTGGCCTGACGGGCCGTCAGAAAAATGGCATGACCCAATCTGAAACTTGCCGCGAACTCCCGCCGCAAACATCCCACGGAAATTGGACCGTCAAAATTCGGGGCGGGCCCGTCAAAAACAGACGTCGGGAAACCCGAGTTCCTGCGAGCTCGAGCCTTTTCCCAGACGTTTCTGCTCATGCCGCTGTTTCTTCTTCGGGAAGACGCGACCCGAGGCACTGGCCGCCCGCCGGCTCCAGTCCAGGAGCATGCCCTGGCCGCGGAGACCTGCGAGGGGGAACGCCACAAGGGGGACCAGCAGGATCAGTCAGCATCGAGTCGGTAAATTCGATCGGATCGAACTGTGCATTGAACTGGGCCGCATCGGCACAGAGTCGAAATCGAATCGAAACGGCCGAGCCAGGATGCTCAACAGCGCCATCCGAGCAGAGGGCCGCATCGGATCCTCGCGTATCGGAATCGAATCGGATCGGGCTGGCCAGAATCGATATCGAATCGGATCGATTGGATCGGCATGGGCCCTGGTTGGGAGGGGGGGGACATCGACCCGGAGTCGGCAATGCACCGCCGACAGATCCGCGACAGGCCCCCGACAGTGACACCGTACGCTCCCGGGCGGGGCGGGCTGATTGTCGGGCCCCTATCGGCGATCAGAGGGCGGTGGGGTGTCGATGCGTCCCCCCCGAGCCTGCGTATGCCCTCCCCGACGTTGCCCCGGAGCCTTCGCGCCGGTCGAGGCGCCTGACGGTGCCGTCGTCGCCACACGACAGGACTGTGGAGTCGTCGCCCGCGTCGACCACCAGGCGCTGCGCGGCGCCCGCGTGGAGGGACCACGCCTGGGTCACCCGCTCGGCGCGGGCGTCCACCAGGCACACGCTGCCGTCCATGGAAGGAAAAAACAAACGCCATATGCAACAGCTTTCGGAGGTCCGCGCGGACTCCTTGGATCGGCGCTGGGCCCTTGTCTTGGCGCGCGGCGCGCGCCAGCGGCGCTGGAGGCGCCGCCAGGGGGCCCAGCGCAGACCCAGGAAATCCGCACGGACCTCCGAAAGTTTGTTTATGTCATTGTTGTCTTCTTCGAGTCCAGGGAGCAGGACGCGAGCAGCTCTGGCGCGAGGAACTTGCAGCAGAATATGTTGGCCTGGAGTTGTAGGCGGCTGAGGGTCTGAGCTGGTTGGGACCCCAGAAAACGGTCAGGACGAGGGGATGAAGCCAAATCAGTTCAAAATCGGTCCCCAGACCACTCCCCGGGTCCATCATGTGCGTTTTTTCACTCTGGACCCGTCTTCACTTACTGTCCCGAAAGCGAACCCAGAGGCCGAAAAGGGTAGAAAACCTTCCCAAGCCCAGAACCTCGAACCTGCCCGCCCTTCCTGCTGGCCGGAACATTGCTGGGCCACCAAAGACCCCCAAACGGCTCCCAAGCTAATAAGGCCCTCCAATGAGAAATCCGAATCCAAAGCAAAATCAAGATCGAATCGGAATCGGGATCCGATGAGAAATCGAATCGGATGCCCCCCATGAGAAACCGACATCGAACCGAATCGAAATCGTAACCGAAATCGAACTCGGCTCGAACTCGAAGCCGCAGGCGCCGAAACGAGCCCTGCCTGGTGGGCAGTGCGCAGGCGGGCGGCGAGCTGGAGTTCAGAAGAGTGGTCCCAAAGGCAGAGGTGCGCGTCGTCGCTGCCGGAGCAGAGCACCGAGCCGTCGCTGCGCCAGGCCACGGCGTTGACGCAACCCTCGTGGCCCTCCTCTTCCTCCTCCTCCTCCTCCTCCTCCTCCTCCTCCTCCTCCTCCCTCCTCCTCCTCCTCCTCCCCCTCCTCCTCCCCCTCCTCCAACTCGTCCGTCTCCTCTCCTCCTCCTCCTACTCCTCTCCCTCCTTTTCCTCCTCCTCCTCCTCCTCCTCCTCCTCCTCCCCTCCTTTCCACCCCTCCTCCTCCTCGTCTCCTCGTCCTCGTCCTCGTCCTCGTCCTCCTCGTCCTCCTCTTCCTCCCCCTCCTTCTCGTCCTCCTCCTCCTCCTCGTCCTCCTCCTTCTCCTCCTCCTCCTCCTCCTTCTCCTCCTCCTCCTCCCCCTCCTTCTCCCCCCTTTTACTCCTCCCTCATCCTCCCTCCTCCTCCGCCTCGTCGTCGTCGTCCTCCTCCTCCTCCACCCCCATTCCTGTTGCTTGAGAACCATTACTCCATGTCGCACTTCCAGGCCAGTCGGAAGGGCGGCCCAGGCGTTTCGCCACATACGTCTTCACAATTCATGATCCTGGAACTTTCAATTGGGAAAAAGTTTCACAGATGGAGGGCAGGCAACGTCCAAAATGTGGCTCTCGCCTTAGCGCCGCACACATTCGTCTGCAACATGTTTGATTAAACAACTTTTCAACTTGAACGCGGCTCGCTTTCAAATGTGGCTCTCGCCTACGCGCCGTGCTCTTTCGTTGTAATACATGCATGACCTTCACGGAATGAGGGCAGGTCGTTTCACTATGTGGCGTTCGCCGTAGCGCCGCGCACAATCGTCTCAACATTCACATCAAGTTTCGCGGAGTCACTGTCATAATCATCACCAGCATCACCATCATCAGCATCATCACCATCATCATCAGCATCATCATCAGCATACTCAGCGTCATCACCATCATCAGTATCATCATCACCATCAGCATCATCAACAGCAACACCATCAATATCATCAATATCATAATCAGTATCATCATCGGCATGCATCAGCATCAGCATCAGCATCAGCATCAGCATCAGCACCAGCATCAGCATCAGCATCAGCATCATCATAAGCATCATAAGCATCATCATCATCATCATCATCATCATCATCATCGGCATCGGCATCAGCAGCAGCACCATCATCAGCATCGTCATCACCATCAGCATCATCATCACCATCATCGTCATCATCGTCATCATCAACATCATCATCAGAATCATCAACCTCATCAACAACATCAACATAATCACCATCAGCATCATCATCATCATCAACAACATCATCAACACCATCATCAGCATCAGCATCACCGTCATCATCTCCCTCCTCCTCCTCCTCCTCCTCCTCCTCCTCCTCCTCCTCCTCCTCCTCTTCATCCTCCCTCGCCCTCTTGGACCTGCCACTTCGGAGGCAGGCCATCGTCCTAGTCCTCCTCCTTTCCCTCCTTCTCCTCCTTTCCCTCCTCCTCCTCCTCCCCTCCCTCATCCTCTCCCCCACCTCCTCCCCTCCTCCTCCTCCTCCTCCTCCTCCTCCTCCTCCTCCCTCCTCCTCCTCCCCTCCTCCCTCCTCCTCCTCCTCCTCCTCCTCCTCCTCCTCCTCTCCTCCTCCTCTCCTCCTCCTCCTCTTCCCCTCCTCCTCCTCCTCCTCCTCTCTCCTTCCGCTCCTCCCTCTTCCTCCTCCTCCTCCTCCTCCTCCTCCTCCTCCTCCTCCTCCTCCTCCAGCCTCGTGGCCCTCCAGGGCGCGGTCGACCTGGAGCCTCGGGCAACACCAGGCCTCGAGGCCGCGCCGCGCCTGGAGCGGAGGACCCCCCCTCCCTCCTCCTCTCCCTCTTCCACTCCCTCCTCCCCCCCCCTTCTCGTCCCTCCTCTCTCCTCGCTTCTCCCTCATCGTCCCTCCTCCTCCTCCTCCTCCTGCTCCTCCTCCTCCTTTCTCCCCCCTCCTGGCTCTTCCCTCCATTGCCTGCCCGGTCCCGCCCCAATCCGTATCGAATCCGCGTCGAATCGATGTCGGACTCGTCGAATCCACGTCGAATCCATGCCGAATCCGCGTCGAATCCCTGCCAATTCCGCGTCGAGCCCGCAAAGAGCCCGCGTGGGGCATAAGAAAAGACATCAATTGTAGGACTCACGAGACCCCCCGAAGATGCAAGTGAAGAGCGGAGGAACTGACAAAACCGTGCACTAAGGGGTCACGTGGGCACGACCGCTGGATCACAGATGAGTCCATGGGGTGGGCTGCACACTGGGCCACCGCACTCGGCTCCCATGACGAACGAACAACACACACACACATACACACACTCATACCCATATGGGGGTCGGAAGAAAGAAGACTGCCTATGGGTATAGGTGCGGGTTGTCGGAACCTGGGGAGGCTCCCGTTTGAGCGGGGAGCACCTTCCGACAACACGCACCCATAGCCCCCTCCGTCCCCCGGGCACGGGTGCGTGCTGTTCGGTCGTCGTCCCAGTTGAGGCTGCACTTGTGCGCTCGGGACATGTAGGCATCACAGGCGGGAGCGGCGCGGCAAGCAGGTCACACAGGGACGACCAAGAAGGGGAGGACGCCTCGAGGCCGCACCAGGCCTGGAGTGGGACGCAGGAGGGCCCACCAGTATGATGCGCTTCTGCTGGAGGCGCATCTCCGACTCGAACAGATAACACAACAACAACTGTTTTCGCGCCGCACGCTCCGCGAAGCGCGAATATCTTCGCGCTTTCGTGCCGACCCCCTCCGGAACAGTGAGGGACTTTTCCTCGCCCCGAAATCACTCTGACCGCGAAGCGCGACTAACTTCGCACTCCAGTGGTGGCCCTGGCGTATACCGTTCCCCCGACACGATGACGAGAAAGCGCCCGGCACCGAGCGTGTACGAGGCAAATTCTGAGCAAGCGGGTCAGCCCTGCGGGGCCGCCACACACAGTATAGAAGGTGTGCGCTGGGTGAAGGCGAGTTCATTTGGCTCAAGGTCCATCTTTGGCTCAAAGCGAGCTCAAGGTTCAAGGCTTTCACTCTCACAATACTTCCCCACTCACATGATTTTCCTTCTGGTTCTCAGCGCCACATCGCACATACATCATGGCGACTCGTGTCACTCTCAATTTCGAAGCAAAATGGAACAAATGATGGCGTCGCCGCCTGCCTCGAAACATACGCGTCTGGCCGGCACACCCGTCAAACATGTGTTAACCAACCCTTGGGAGAGCATGAAGGAGCAGAAAATGGCGCGCACTGGGCATGGTCCAAACTCCCCCTTCGCCCCATTACTCGGGGATGTGACCGAGCAGCACGAGGGGCAGGGCAATGCAGGTTACGTTCGCATGCAGCAGACGAGGGGGAGGTGGAGAAAGATGACGAGGATGAGCTCATCCAGGAGCCGCCCCGGGAGCACGTCACCATGCAGGGCATCGCGACCCTTCTGAAGGAACAGCTGGGCCCCATGCCCAGTACGGTTGATGGGCTTCGCAACGACTTTTCCAAGATGAACGTGCGCCTGGACCACTTGGAGCAACGCCTGAGCATGAACGACGTGCGGATCGACAAACTCGAGACCATCTGCACGACTGTTGATCAGAAGGCGTTCCCAATCATTGATTCCGTGGAGGCCAAGATCCACGAGTACATCCAAGATTCTATGGTGAATGAGGAGGGGAAGAAGGCTGGCGACAAGACGCACGTGTCCCCCGAGGTCGTGGACAAGCGTGCCTTAAGCATGGTGATTGGAAATTGGGGGGAGTTGGATGGCCTCGAGAAGGCCGCCGCATGGCTGAAGGAGAAGCTTGTCGATATGGCAGGGCCTATGCCAGAGAAAATCTCCGCCAAGGGGACATCAGGGGGATCTTGTTTGCAGAGTTCCAGAATACATCCTTTCGGGACCTCGCAGTTGATCTTCTACGACGTGCCAGCCTCTGAAGCGGGGAGAAGAACGTTTGGGCTACCCAAGACCGCTCCCCACAGGACCGGGCAACTCGAAATTTCTGCCTGGGCCTCAAGCGGTTGTTGAAAGATGAATATTGCATACTGTACCACGTCTCCGTCGACGTGGGCCCGCCCATCGATTCCCACTACACCATGACCGTAGGAGGTGAGCACGCACTTACAGCTAAGGTTGAGGGTTTCAATGTCGAGTACGAGTGGGTGGGAGCCTGGGCTACGTGGTATACGTTGCACGACAACCCCCGCATCAAAGAACTGAACGTGCAATCACGTGAACTTTTGGCTCGGGCGTCGATGGGCATGAAGGGAGGAAGCGCCGGGAAGGGGATGCAGAAGGGCGCTGGGAGGCGCCCTGGCGAATAGAAAATTGCCCACGGAAGTGTTTCACCTATGGCAGTCGGCCCTACTGCCACTATAAGCCCAAATCGGTTACGAATTCATTCAGCAGCATCGCTAACGACACGAACATATCCATGCACGCCATATTCTCGCATTGGCTGTGGGGGCCCTGGCTTTCGAGGTGGGCCGCACGGCACTGCATTCACAGATCCTCGAGGACATCAGGATGGCAGAATGGCATTTTTCCATAGACTCCAGGACGTGGTTCGCCCCGACACCAGGCACTCTACAACGTGTATCCTTGGACACTTCAACGTCGGACTTGGCCGAGTGAAGGCTGGCGAAGAAGACATCATCGGCCCGCACGTGTACGAGACTGCGCACGCATACAGCAACGAATCCCACTCGAACCAGAGCCTTCTGACTGAATGTTGTGTTGCCTGCGACCTCACGGAGGCCCATACAATGTTCGATCAACCTGATCATCGAAAAGTCTCTTACCGCGATTTGGGTGTACCACCAATGGCAAATATCGGCGAATGAGGTTTTGGACAGATCGACCATATATTCTGCCATCAAGACTACACCACCACTATTGTTGATGTTTGGACGTGCCGGGGCGTTGCATTAAACACACAACGTTTTCTCACGGTTGCGAACACCTCAATGCAGTTCAAAGTAGAGGAGTCCCACAAGAAGAAGCGCGTCGATGAGGCGTTGTTGAAAGATAATGTGACTCAGAAGGTGTTCGCGCGAGCCTTCGCCAACGCAATTTGCGCAGACTACCAGAATTGCACTTTGGAGGAAGCCGCGTCAAACATGCATCAAGCTTTCCATGTAGCGGCATCGACCTTACCACTCAAGGCCGACCAGCCCAGACACCCGTGGACAAGTCAACAGACCGTCGATTTGATTGCGGAGCGGAACATGTGTGGCCAATCTGAGAATACACCATCGAAAAGCTCCTCAACAATATGATCCGCAAGTCTGGCAAGCAAGACCGCAAGACATGGCTGGAATAACATTTGGGGGGAGGCGCATGGGACGCTGTGCGATACCGTCGCAAGCCGAAGCCGATCAAACATGCCGCCATTAAGAAATCAGACGGGACATTATCCGACACGGCCGAACGGGCAAACATCATGGCCGACTACTTCGAATCAGTGCAAAGGCAAAACCGATTTCCTGAATTACAACCAGCAGATCGCCAACCGATTGGTGATGCTTTACTTATCCGAACAAATGATTTTACGATGGATGAGTTGTTGAAGGTCTTGCGGGAGCTCAAATCTGGAAAATCAGCGGGCCCCGACAAGATCCCTTCTGATTTCTGGAAGGTACTTATGTGTGATGGGAACGCAAATGGTGTGTTACTACGTTTATGTCAGCAAGGTTGGGATAAGATATCTATTCTGGATTCCTGGAGGCAGACCAAATTCATCACTTTCAGTTCGATGCAAAATTTTGGCGGCACTGATACACCAGAAATTGTTGCAAGAAAGTCTCGAAACACGCACGCGTGGCTCTCAATACGGCTTATACGGCTTTCGCCCAGGATGTGGAACAGCAGACGCCCTGATGCTTGTGAGACGCATGATGGATGCTGTGCATTCGAATCTGGACGGGAGACTTTTGGTGCTAATGCTGGACTGGGCAACAGCGTTCGACAGGTTAAAGCCAGATTCAATGCGGAACGCTTTGTTGAGATTTGGAACCCCTGCCGACTTCCCATGTCCCGCTCCTTCGTCATCCGAGACCACGCTGGCACCTCCACCGAGACGACAGAACGCTGGAATCGCCCAGGGATGCTCCTTTTTTCCATACTCATTCATAGCAATCCAGACTGTCATGCTGCACGACGCCGTCGGCTCGCTACACCTGGACGAGGAGCCCAGATACGTGGTCACCCGGGATGTTCTTCATGCCGACGACACACACACATTGATAGTCTCCACATACCAGTCAAACCTCCAGAACATGTTGAAAGCTATCGTTGACGAGGGGCGCAACTATGGTTTGGAGCCTAACTGGAGGAAGACAATACAAATGCAGATCTCCACGAATCAAAAAGTTCCGACACCAAGTGGTGGTGGCGTGAAGACTGTACGGGCCGCCGTATATTTGGGAGGTTTGCTTACATGTGACGGCAGAGCGTCGGCGGAGCTATGCAGAAGATTGGGAGAGGCAAGTAAGCTGTTCAAGCAACTCAACAAGCTTTGGTCGCACGCATCTCTTGGATGGAAGCGGAAGCACAAGATCTACGACGGCAGTGTCTTGAACAAACTATGATAGTATTTGGATGCTTTGTGGTGGCTGAAAGCAGACAGATGCCAGCTCGATGCCTTCCATTGCCGATGTTTGCGACGCACTCTTGGGATTCCACCTTCTTTCATATCACGTGTCAACAACGCAAGCGTTCTGGGCCAGGCTGGGGCGGAACCGCTATCGCAAGTTTTGGCTGGTAGACAAATGAAGCTGTACGAGAAGATTGTCGCGCATGGGCATACAGCTTTGGTGCATCGGGTTCTCTGCAATGGCGATGGGTCGCCGAAGAGTTGGGCTTGCAAGCGCAGACGCGGACGACCGAGACAACAATGGGCGTCTTCAGTTTACAAGTTGTTGCAACATGTGTGAGCAGGTGAGCGGATCTTTCACCGCCGTCTTCATAGCCGCTGTAATTCCCAGGTGTGGCGGTGAGTCACGCCCCCGTGCATCGGATGGTTCGTGTGGCGTTTGGCAACATTACTTTTCCTGCCAACGCGTCCACCAGGACGCAAGGCTTTCTTGATTGCTTGCTTGCGCTGGGTGGTACCGAGGGAGCACAGCAAGAGTGCAGCACGAAACGAACAGGAGGCCCGCCCAGACTTCCAGGGTCGGTGCTGGACCCCTTCTCTGCAGCAGTAGGAATAAAGAGCGGTAGAAATGTAAGCTTTCGGAGGTCCACGCGGGTTTCGTGGGTCTGCGCTGAACCACCCTCCCTGGCGCGCGGAGCGCGCCCGGGGCGGCACGGCCGTAGGGCTCTGGCGCAGATCCCAAACAATCACACGTACCTCCAAATTCTTCTTCGATGTAGGAACCAAAACAATACTACCGATACCGCTGTTCCCCGGACCACTCCCAATGTGTTTTCTAGCCGGAACTCCGAGAGGAGTCCTGCAGTGAAGACGAAGGCGTTCCAGGAGGCCCACCAAGGCGAAAACGAGGCAAGGGGAATGAGCTGTAATTGGTACGGCACGGGCGTTGGACGTTTGGGGGCCCCTGCGGGCTTCCCAGATCTCCAGCTTCTTGGACAAAAGTCATGTTCAGCCTTCGCATTCTTGAAGACGTCATTTGGCTCGGGGGCCATTGAACAATGATCTGGGACAAGGAGCCGGGCCCCCGGGAGGGGGGTGAGTTGTCGGGCGATCACGTGATCAGGCAATCACGAAATTCGATCTCCTGGGTCAGCGAAGGAGCCCCCCCGCCCGCACCCCTTCCATGCCGCGGCGGGGCGTGCCAAGGGGCGGCGCCTCAAGCGTCGCCCAGCGCTTCTGGAGGCGCCCCTCACCACCCCATACCAGAAAGCTGCGGGGATGGATGCATGTTGCCCAAAACCGACCACGGCCGCTGTTGGGCAGACGACTTTACGCCTCAAATGGACACAACGCGCCCTGCTCAAAATTAGCCCGGCGAAGGACCCACCCATATGCAGTTGCGAGTACCGCAATTATGCATATCTTCTTCGGTGGAGCTCCCTATGGGGCCACGAAACGCTGTACTGGGTGGGTGAAACGCAGGGTGCAAGGGCTGTGCTGGGTGGTGGCTGACGCATGCGGGCGGTGCCACTGAAACCTTCGGTGGAGCTCCCTATGGGGCCACGGAACGCTGCACTGGGTGTGCGAAACGCAGGGAGCACGGGCTGTGCTGGGTGGTGGCGGACGCATGCGGGCGATGCCACTGGGACCTTCGCTGAAGCTCCCTATGGGGCCACGAAACGCTGTGCTGGGTGGGTGAAACGCAGGGAGCAAGGGCTGTGCCGGGTGGTGGCTGACGCATGCGGGCGGTGCCACTGGGACCTTCGGTGGAGCTCCCTATGGGGCCACAGAGCGCTGCACTGGGTGGGTGAAACGCACGGAGCAATGGCTGTGTTGGGCGGTGACCGGCGCATGCGGGCGGTGCCAGTGGGACCTTCAGTGGAGCTCCCTATGGGGCCACGAAGCGCTGTACTGGGTGGGTGAAACGCAGGAGGGGGAGGAGGGCCACGAAACGCTGTACTGGGTGGGGGGGACGCATGCGGACGGTAGACCTGGAACCTTCGGTGGAGCTCCCTATGGGGCCACGAAGCGCTGTATGGGTGGGTGAAACGCAAGGAGGAGGGGGAGGAGGGCCACGAAACGCTGTAGAGGGTGGGGGGGACGCATGCGGACGGTGTACTTGGAACCTTCGGTGGAGCACCCTATGGGGCCACGGAGCGCTGTACTGGGTGGGTGAAACGCAGGGAGGACGGGGAGGAGGGCCACGAAACGCTGTACTGGGTGGGGGGGACGCATGCGGACGGTAGACCTGGAACCTTCGGTGGAGCTCCCTATGGGGCCACGAAGCGCTGTGCTGGGTGGGTGAAACGCAGGGGAGAGGGGGAGGAGGGAGGAGGAGGGGGAGGAGGAGGAGGAGGAGAGGAGGAGGAGAGGAGGAGGAGGAACGCGGGGACCGTCTCTTCAAAACGAGGACCCAACACCACAGGATGGTTGGGAAAAACAGACACTGCAATCGGCATCCGCCCCCGCTCTTGCCGTGCTCATTCCGATCGCGCCGACATCGCAGATGTCCGACGCTCAGGATTTTCCAATGCGCGGCCGAAGAAGGGTCCCGCCCCCCCGGGTCCCGACCACCCAGGGTCGCGACACCCCAGCTGGAAAGACAGATATCGTTAGGCCACCTTTGCCCAATGGGCTGGTTATATTGAAGGCTCAACTCATATCCATTACTTCCAGCTCTGTGGCCGAGCGACGCGTCACCGCGCTCGATACATTCTGATGATCCTGGGGTCCAATTATGAGCCCTAGACGCTGGACTCGAGAAACAACTACACGCACGCACGCAAGAATCCGCGCCTAGACGGCGCACCAACAAAACATCCACACGATACGAAGACCTTGGGGAATACGCAAGGTATTGCATCGCGAATGCAGGCGCGCTGGAGCGCAGACACTGAACGCAGGCCAGTCCTGGGCGGCGGAAGACAATTCATTTCCGGGACAACAAGCGTGCAAGAGCTTGCCATCGCTCGGATGTCCCTTCCCTGTACATTATTCGGTATCGCGCGTTCATTTGTTTCGCAAGATGATCCAAGATGCTCCTCGATGGTCCTCGCGGAGAAAAATTCACACGTCCGAGCGATGCCAAGAGAGGAGAGAAGGGAGGGGACGGATGAAGAGGGGAGGGCACCAAGGAAAAACGACAGGATTAGAAACAACACGTCATCAGACATCTGGGACTTTGGCCCTCCGGTGCCAAGGGCGCGCCGGCAGCGCCTCCCGCGGGCCTGGAGGGGCAACGACACCGAGTCTTACGCACGATGGCATAGCAATCTTATGTGGCTTCCGCGGGCCGCCAGCGCGGCACGCTACATTGGAAACGAGAGCGCTTACGCGCGACCTTACGCGGGCAACTTGCGTGCGAATGTCAGCGCAATCGAGTTCATTTTCTTCCGTCGCTCAGCCGGGATCGGCGATGCATCGTCGAGGTCGGCGATAGGTCCCCGACAACGAGACCGCACGCTACTGCGCGGAATGGGCCGCCGAAAACTGACTAAAACATCCGTGAACCTCCAACCCGGGCATCGACCCCTGAACCTCTCCTGGGGTGCGTTATGACCAGAACTCCGAGACGGATCCAGCCGTGGCCACCAAGGCACCCAAGACCACCAACAACGCGCAAAAAGCGAACCTCGGTCATCGAACTTCGAACCGCCAGCCTTGAGGGACAGCCATCCCTGGGCGGTGGCACGCCCTGGCATCACACAATACTGGACGACGCTCGGGCGTGCCACCGCCCAGGGATGGGTCCCCCGATGGGCTGTCGGTGGCGGTGGTCTCTGAGTCTTCTCTCATGCCTGGGTCCATCCGAGCCCCAACTCAACGTTTGCGAGGAGGGGACTTATTCATATCCACCGCCTTGGGAAACGAAGTCATGGGATCAAATGGGGCGGTGGGTAGACACTATATTGATAGATGAATATATGGATTGATTGGGATATGCCTACATCGATATATGTGTATACATGGATTTCCGTGCATACATGAATACATACTGCTAATCTCAGGGCCTGTTGGGCCCATTACGTGTTCAGGCATGTGTATGCTACCCGTGCGTATGTATTATGTGCGAGTTGATGCTGCAGCATTTTGGCTTGCCACAGGAGTGACAAAGAGGGTGCGGGTGCCCCCTCCTCGGAGCCATATCTGCATTGATAGTGCGGAGCGTGCCGCGCGATAGCAGGCGCTGTCGCACAGGGCGGCACTCGGGCGAGTGCCGGCGGGACGCGAGAAGGTGATGAACACGGACAATGGAGGCCCCGGCGGCGCAATCAGGAGGTTCGCTGGGACAGGAGCCGACGCATCTCGGGACTACAGATCCTGGAAGAAGTGGGCGCGGGCGTACCTCATCGCGCAGAGGTCGAAGGGGACGCCTGCGACGGCCCTAGGGCCGATGCTTTTCACGCTCTTAGACGACGTCGCCGCCCGGGCGCTGGAAGTGGTCGACATGGACGACCTGGAGCAGGAGGGCGGCGAACAGCAGATCTTCGACAGGCTTGGAGAGGCGCTGAAAGAGGTGTTCACGATTCGCCTGACCAAGGGCGAGTCGATGGCGACGTACTGTGGGCGCGCCCGAGCGGCGTTCGCCAAAGGCGAGGCCGAGGGCGTGGTGCTGCCGGACATGGCGTGGGGCTACTTGCTGCTGCTGGGGACATCCCTGGCACCACAGAACCTCGCGGTCGTCCTGGCGGCCTCGGGAAGATTGCGCAATGAGAAGGATGTAACCATGGCGCTCCGGACGACCTACCCTAACGGTACGGCAAACTTCGGCCAGCAATCGAAGGCTTTCGGCGCTCACGTGGCAGAGGAGACCGACGAGAGCGAGGACATCGCGGACATTGCAGCGCTGCTGGCGAGCTACGACGCGGCCGAGGTCGGGGAAGAAGGGGACGTCCTGGACGAGAGTGAGGCCATCGAGATCCTGGTGTCGTGGCGAGACCAGCGGAACCGGATCTCGAAGGAGCAGCTAGCCCGGGGCTTCGGCCCCAAGAAGCCGGACATGAAGACCATGGCGAGCAAAGTGAGATGCTATAACTGTGACGAGGTGGGTCATTTCAGTCGGGACTGTACTAAGCCTCGTCGACAACGCCGACCATCACCACGAGACCAAAAGGGGAAGGGCAAGAATGGCGAGAAGCGCGGAGACGTGGTCATGATCATCGAGAGTGACTCCGACGAGGGCGTTTTCGTGGTGGGCGACGAGGAGAGCCTCGAGTGACCTGTGTGAGGATGAGTACCAGCAGCCCCCGTACGACGACGAGGGTGGCTGCAGTGACGAGTGCGACTGCGAGCTGGCCACCGACGAGGACGATAACGACGATCAGGACATTGCCGGCCTGTGTGAGGCGTACGCGGCGGTGCGGGACGACATGGATGATGTGATCGAGGCGTACCGCAGGCTGACGGCAGACACCGATGAAGAGGAGGTCGGCCCGGAGGCGCTGATCGCGTCAGCGCACGAGCCGGGCTCAGGTGTGGTCGACACAGGGTGCGTCAAGGGCGTCATCGGTGAGAAGACGCTCGAGGATCACAAGGCGGTGATGAAGAAGGCAGGCCTCACGGTGAAGACCCTCAGGCAAGCGAAGGCGACGAATTTCCGGTTCGGCAACCAGGAGACGCTCGAGTCGATCTACACGGCTGAGCTGCAGTGCCGAGTGTGCGGCCGAATCTTGGTGCTGCGCCTGTGCGTCGTTCCTGGCAGGACCCCACTGCTAGCGAGCAAGCCCATGCTCAAAGCCTTGGGGGCGCAGCTGGACATGGAGCGAGTCGAGGTCCGATTCACGAGGATCAACGTCACCGTGCCGCTCAGGGTCGCGGGCAGCGGCCACTACCAGCTGAACCTGTGTGAGATGAAGAACGAGGATGGGAGGAAGATTCAGACGGCCGAGGTCGACGTGCTGGAGGTGGAGAAACTTGATGACGCGAGGACGGCAGATGCGCAGAGGGAGCTGGAGGCGCTCGTCGCCGAGGCGTCGTCAGGTTTTCGATAGGGCCGAGCCGGAGCCCTGAGGCTGACGGCGACTGGGACGACACCAACGTGCTGTGGTCAGAGGCGTCACCGACATCATGAGCCGGCGGGCCAAGCGGATGGTGACCATGGGCCATGGGTGTGCTGGAGGCGAAGGCCAAGCTGGACCGCCGGCCGAAGTGCCTGGAGATTTTCTCTGAGCCTCGAGTGGCGCTCGACCTGGAGGCCATGGGATTCCAGAGCGTCGGTGCGTTCGATCTGAAGAACGGCTGGGACGCTCGGCGCTCGACGGACCGACACAAGATCTTACGCCTGATTGACGACGAGGAGCCCGAAGACGTGGGCATGAGCCCTCCGTGTGGACTCCTCTCGATTATGCAGAACCTGACAGCTGAGCACGCGCGGTGAGACCCAGAGAAGTTTCGGCGGTCGGACATCTGAGATTCCGTGCGGCGATAGCTCGGATGCAGATCAGGGGTGGCCGCTACTTTGCGCTCGAGGTCCCTCCAACGGCAAAGTCCTGGGACTATGTATCGGCCTTGGACCTGTGTAGGCTGTCGGGGGTGCACCGCGTCTCGGTCAGCGGGTGCCGGGTGGGCCTGAAGGACCCAGTGACGAGGGAGCTGATGTCCAAGGAGTGGTGCCTTGCGACCAACGCGGACATGCTCAAGTGGACGCTGAAGGAGCTGCGGTGCCCTCGTGATCCCGAACACCAGGGGTGCTGGGACTGCTCGGGGGATACCAAGAGGAGCTCATTCTCTGAGAAGTACCCTAAGGACCTGTGCCAGAAGATAGCTGGAGCCGTGGGGAGTCAGCTGGAGATGGACTACGCCTTCCTGATGGCGGACGCCCTGACGACGACCGACGACGATGCAGGCTTCAAGCGACGCAAACTGTCGCTCGAGGCGTCCCTCCGGAGGCTGCATGCCAGCCTCGGCCACCCGAGCAACGAGGACATGGTGAGAATTCTGAAGCAGGTCAAGGCAAGTGAGATGGTGCAGGTCATGGCGCGGCTGTTTGCCTGCTCGATCGGTGAAGAACGGCGGCTTCCCAAGGCCGTGCGGCCCGTGAGGGTGCCGTCTAAAATGGCGCCATTGAGGCTGGTCGAGTTGGACGTCAAGGAGCCACCGGGCTGGAAGGTCGGGATGAAGGTGAAGGCCCTGAACATCGTGTGTCCCAGCAGCGGCCTACATAAAATGCCTCCCATATTTGTCCAGGAGACAGGCAAGGTTTTGAAGGAGCTATTCGAGAGTGGCTGGTGTGCGGGTAAGACCAACTTGGGCCAGGACATTGTCGTTGCGTTCGAGAAGCAGGGGATGGAAGTTAGCGACACTGCAGGAGAAGCTCACGAGCTGGTCGGCCGTGCTGAGCGTCATGGGACGTGGTTCGAGGATATGCTGAATAAAGTGCAGGATCAGACCAACCCGAAGGACAAGAGTGAGTACAATACAGGACGTGCGTGCGAGCGGTGGTGATGGCCAAAAACACTCCCCTCCGTGCACATGGCTCCTCTCCGTTCCAGATCGCCCACGAGAAGAACCCAGAGGTCCCATCGGACCTGATGCAGGAGGGCCCGATCACCGTTATCCACAACGTGATCTTGCACGAAGAGCCGTCCGCCGAGATGGAGAGATGCCGACAAGCGGCGAGGGCTTCCGTACTGGAGTACATGGACAATCGCGCGGCCAAGGCGGCTCTTGACAATCGTTCCAAAAGTGCTCAGACGTTCAAGCCGGGCGACCGAGTTGCCGTGTGTTGCCGTGGCAGGGGCATCCCTGGAAAGAAGGCGCACACCTGCGGGCGTGGGTCAGCCGTGATCCTGGGCACCGTGTGCGGCAACTTCGGGGTCGCCATGCCGGGTGTGGTCATCAAGGCGTCGCCCGAGCAGCTCCGACACGCCACCGAGGAGGAGAAGCTGGTCGCCGAGGTCGTCCAGCCTGAGCTCCGAGCCCTGACGAAGGAGGTCATGGATGGCCAAGGTCCCCAGCGCGGGTTCATGGACATCACGGCGGACGAGCAGCCCCCCGGCGCGGCGCCAGCAGGCGCGGCTTGAGGCCCGACTGCTGAGGTGCCGTCGGAGGCGGATACACCGGCCGAGGATGAGGCGGAGGAGCTGCCGGCGCGATCCGGACCTGGCGACCACGACGGAGGTGCTGAAGCAGCGCCTCAGTCCGAGGCTCCAGCCGAGCTACCGACCCCTGAGATGACGGCTGACGCGACGGTGCCCCGCCGCCTGGTGGGCAAGAGGACGGTCAACTCGGCGGAGGCGCCTAGGATGTCCGAGGACATCTACAGTCGGGG